ACACAACTGAACGTATTAGGACTTAACTGGATCGTTTAAACCTGAAAATATAACTATTGCACGCTGAACATGAGAAGACCGTGGCGGGCGCGCCTTGCGCCACCGACGGCTATACGTCGTCTCTCGGCCACAACACCTTATTATCCGGCAACTTCTGAACAACTCAACATGATCATCAATATGAAGCCGTTTAAAACATAACCACACGGACAGCACATGATCGATACTGAACTCACTAAGACATGGACTACGGCCACCCGTGACTACGCGCGATAGGCGCTAGCGACAGCGTGGGCCAAATTATCGACCGAACTTCAACTTTACTCGACAAAACGCATTTAACTGAACATGATATGCTGAATAAAGGCTAAATAACCGATAAACGCTCGGGACTTGACGGACTGAAATGAACATAAGGAAGTATTATCTTACATACGACTTGAACCGAACTTAACATGATCTCCCCTTAAAATTCTGAAAATTACTCGAACCACTAGATTCAATACGATCTAAATAACATGAACAATATCTCAAGAGAACATTACCTCTTCGCTCACTCGATCGAAACACTCCCGGTACGCAAGCTCTTCTTACTCCGTGCGTGCGGGACTAGCCGCGCGGTTCTTCTATAGGTGCTGCGTGTAGTTCTAAGGAAATTGGGGAATTTTACTTGAACTTAATGGCTGCTGCAAGGGCTAATATATGCTGAATTGTATTAAGGAAAGTGGGGAAAATTTTCCATCCTTCCAACTATATATATAAGCCGTGGGGGAAGATATGGTGATGACGTTATTGAGGCGTGGCCTAGCTAGGCATTTAGCACTTGTCTCCTTTAGCATAAGCTTAAGATGATTAATCCACATACCTTATTTCTCCTAAGGCCACGTAGAACTCAAAGTAAGAAAAAAAATTCTTCCTTAAGTATTAAGAGAGTTTAGAAAATTTGAAACCTATATAGCACGGCAATTGGGACATTTAAGCCTCGGCTTAAGACTTTGATTGTAATTAATTAACATTAATTACTTAGTTTATGTTTAATTTTTTTCAATTAAACATAATGCTTAATTACCAAAATTATTCCGAACGTAAACGGTACGTCGAAATTAAATTTCGGTAATCTCGACTGAACATAATTAATTCCGAAAATAATAATCGATAACGTTATTATATCGGAACTAAAACATAATTTATACCGATAAAATATCGGGATATTACACTATCGGCCCGCATTCTGCTGCTCTTCGGCCCACGTCTGCTTCAGCATCCAGCCCACATCTGGCCCATTCCTCAGCCCGCGAATTGCCAAACCATCCAGCTTGTGGCCCAGTCCTCCTACAGCCGTTTTCTCGGCCCAGCAG